CTTTAGGAGTGTGTATTTAAGCTAACAGACATAGTGTAATAGAGTATGCTATGTATGTTTTTTCATTAAAGGGAGTTCAATCTTTGGGGTTTTTATCCTTGAAATCGGAGGAACTGAGGCATGGACTGATACTAAAGAATAGTGTAAACACCCCTGCAAAGTTCTGCAAATGAGTTATGGGTTTTCCCTCACATACCTGCCAAGAATACCAGGTTACACAGCCCATCCTCAGTGCAGTTCCTAAGTACATTTTCACTCAGAATTTAGCACCCTAAAGCCAGAAAATAACACTTCTCCCATAAGGTGATCATTACAAAATAATGGTGCCTTCCACCTAGACCTCAGTATCTTTCATGGAAGTTTTGCACATGATCAGTGAAGAAAAGCAGACACTCTCCTAGAGCCTGGCTCAGCTGACTTACTGTTTGTCTGTGAGGATGGGTAACTATAAAAATATCAACTGAAGCCACTGATGCAGGTGAATGAGCTGAAGGTTTTTAGGGGAGACAGATGTCACCCTCATCAGTGTACATCTTCTGAGGAACAGTTCTATAAATAACAACTTGCAGATCTCTCTTTTTTTCTGTTTTCAACACTTTGACATGTTCTGCTTTTCATGATAGCGTAACGCAGCAATTAGGAAATGAGAGGAGAATACTGTGATTAAGCCCTTTCTGACTGCCAGAGGGGAACATCCCCAAGCAGCAGTGTAGACTCAGCGCCCTCATTAACCAGTGTGCCATGTGCATCTTCGCCTACCTGAGACATGTAGGTGAGGGAAGAAATCTGAAAGCCAATTTGGAATGTTCCACCGATCCCCAGGACAGCAATCATTCGAAAGAGCCCCTGGTACTGTACCTGCAGGCACAGAACAAAATCTTCTTAGACTTGTAGCCACATCAGGCTCTTCTTGCAACGTGTCTTTCATTCTCCAGCAGCATCTCATTTGTTCAAGGGATTTGCAGATAGGAATGTTCTCTCTGCTTGCCCCGGTGTGGGGAATACATCCTCCTGCGATTTCCCTACATCCAGCTGAAGGAAATACAGCTCCCAAAAACATCCTTGTCAAGGTGTCACAGCTGCCTACATCCAGTCCTGTTCCCTGCCTTTCAAAACCTCTGTCTTCCACTTCTTGCACTAAATAATTAGTGATATATTTCACTAAGCTCTTTTTTTCAGCAGATAAGCAAAGCAAATTATGTTTGAAGGTAAGCAAATATTTTCAAGTAACTGGAAACATTTAAGAAACGATAACATATTGGCAAAGATGGATGACAGAGCATATGAAGTGCAAACATCTGTAATACCTAAAAATGGTGGGCAGGGCCACTTCGAAGACGCTTTTAGCAAGTAGGAGTCTCATTGTTTTTACTGACATATTGACTTGGTGTTCTTTGAAACAGCAGTAGCACACAAAAAGGCCCCAGATGCAAATTCCCCACAGAAGACTTACCAGGTCTGATAGGAAGCCGGTCATCTCTGGCTGGGGGCTGGTTGTCCAACGTGTGATGTGTCTTTGTCATCACAGGCTTCTGTGTCTGCGTCTCCTGCCTGCTGGAATGGCAGTGGGCATTTGGCTTTGGGGATCAGAGTTAAATTTTTACTATTTCGTCTTCACTCACTCATATTTACTTCGACTGGCCAAAGTTAACACTGCCAGATTAAATATTTCAGGAAATAATTGCATCTAGTGCAGTCTCCAGGGGGAAAGTTTCAAAGCAGAGGAAGTTTGCATCTGGGGACTAGAGTGAGGGCTTTGGAAAAAGAAAGGAAAAGAATTTGGGCAAAAAATCCAAACAGTTTCCAGAAACAGTAAAATACTTTACTCCTGTGGTACAGACCAGAGGGTATGTCTGCCATAATCTGCAGAAAGCAAAGGCAGCTGGTACAAGGTTTAGGTACTGTTATTTATAAACAAGTAGAGTATGTGGTGTTCTGTTTCAGATTCATTGGTATAGTAAATACTGTAATTAAAAGAAAAATAAACAAGTTTCAAAGCCTAATTCTGCTGTTCTGGCCTTAGGTATCAGTTAGACTGTACTGAGGATTTGTTGTTTATGGGGATGTTTGTCAGCCAGGTGTGCTGAAAAAGCAGTAAGAGATGGTGTGCCCTGGGAGAGACTTTCAGGATGGAGCATCTGGTCCTGAAGGCTCTGCTTGAAGGAGCCAGTAACCAAGACCCACTTTCTCATGAGAGTAATCAAAGGAGGTAAATATTCCCTAATGAGTTATGAGGGGATAACTAGGATCTGACTCCCTCAGGTTTGTCACAGAACAGCTCCAAAATCAGTGCTGCAGGCATGAAAAAGTCATCTTTGGTTCCCAGAGGCTCCTCTCTTGTGAGGTGAAGCCCAAACTGTAGTTCTGTGTGGCCTCCGCGCGAGCCAGCACTTGGAAGAGAGAGCTTGGTCTGTCTGGGGCTTTCTTGTGTGGTTGGTGCCCTGTGCTGTTCCTGCCTTCAAAGTCTTCTGCTCACTCCCACTCAGGTCAGGGGACTGTCCCCTGCCTCCAAGGCGTGGGGGCAAGTGGGGCAAAGGGGCCATACTGAAGCCCTCAGTAAATGCTCAAGCTCACCCTTGGGATTGTACTTTCAGTTCAAAAAACACAGAATGCAATTATTTACAGAGGGGTTCACTGCAAATACTGTGAGTCTAAAGAAATGAGAAAAAAAATGCACGTTAATAATAAAACCTTGGTTACTTGTGCAATTCCAACTATTGCCTATATAACTGCATAGCAAATGCTGTTTATCCTGGCTTGCAATGGCATTTAGAATGATTTGGCATTTTCTGTAAGTATTTTCTCTTGAACACCAGCATTGTAACTAGTTGCATAGCTATGGACTATTTATTGTTTCAAAATGTTCATGTTTCCTTTCTATTACACGTTTTTTCTCAAATTTTATCAAGGTGTAGGGTGGCTATACCATAAGCACTCTTACACTCCTTGAAAATAATTACTTAGGATCTCAAACAGCAGCAAATTCTACTATCTCACAGCGAAATTTTTCTTACATTCTGAGGGATTTCTGGTGATTCTAAGCTGTATGTGACCGTTTCACCCCATTAGCAATTCTAGGAGAATTTAATTTCAAGTGTTTACCACTTGTTTTTTTGTCAAGCCAATGTCGAGCTCATGAGGATCCCAGCAAAGATAAGGAAGCAGAAAGAGATAAGGTTTTCCTGGAAATAAATAAGAGAAAAATATTTTTATTTTATTCTTTTGCTTCTCTTTTTGTAAAACTTAGAACATGATGACAAAGTTATGACAATGATGGCAAAGTTTTTCTTTGTAGCTGTCTGAACCCAGTTTGTTTGGTTGCTGTGACACGAAACACGCCAGTCTTTAGGTGTGAAACAACAACAGGAATAAAATAGTTAAAATTTCCTTATTTCCTGAAGGCAAAATAGGCAGGGTGAGTAGTCAAAATAATTTGAGATGTTGCTTACAGAAGTATGAAAGAGAGGCCTTGGCATGGGATTAAAACAACTCACAAACATTAATATTGGCAGGTTAATCATATACTGTCTGGTTTATCAGTAACTGCAAGAGATGCAGCAATAGTGAGAATCTGGAGAACAGGCCTCCTGAGGTCTGGCACGTTGGATTAGTGCAGTTTGGGAGGATAAATGCTTGAGATGGAAAAGTTCATTACGCCAGGAAGTAGAGGAGGTGCCCAGCAAGGTGTTGACTTCTTGCAGGAGACAGTGGAGCTCTATCAGAGTCAGCACAGTTGGGCTTCATAGAGAGGGACAGAGGGATCCAAGGCTCCTGTTTTAAACCAGACATGGTGCTGTGTGACAGGGATGAACAGTCCCTCTGCTGTGTTCCAGCTGTGCTGCTGCTGAGGTCAATTCCTCCAAAAGGACCAGTAAAGACAGAGTGACACGGACCAAGTTTACAAGATAAAATTCTCTCTTCTCTGTGTTTGGAGAGGTTGGGAATCTTGAAAAGAAGCTATGAAAAAGAGAAAAAGGAGAGTCAAATCAGAGAGAAGGAACTGAGAAGTGAAAGTGGAAGTTACCACAGCAGAACACACTCTTGATCTGGTGCAGTGCCAACAGTGAACACTGATCCTAATGTCTATTTTTCCATCCATCTGTTGAGTTAGTGACTCCATGGTTTTAATATCTGTTCAGCACAGTTCAGAAGTGCTAGCACCTGCAGTTACACCTGTTTGTGAAACCTGTACAAGCTGGGAAGAACAGCGGGGAAGATAAATGTTCCGTTTGGCCTCATGCTGCCCACATTTTCGAACAGGACACTCAGGTGTTAGTAATTCCCCTTTACAACATTGCTAGGGAAGCTGCAAGCTGCACTGCCACAGAAGGAGTGGAGGAGGAGAGCATGGTGGCAAAAAGAAGCATAAGATTTCATCCTGGATGCAGGCAGCACCTTGTTGGAATCAATGCGGTGTGAGGACACAGGAACTGTTGTGGGCAGGTTAACATATGCAAGCCAGTCTGTCCCCAGCCTAATTGCAAAATAAATGCCCATAATCCAGAGCTTTTCTTCTTAAATGACATGATGCATTTATGCAGCACTTTGCTCGGTCAGTGACGATCTGTTAGGTCAGTAGATGTTGAATGCCAGTTTTCCAAAAGAGACTGGCAGGCGGATGGGTGAAAATATCCAAAACCAAATCAGCAGCCAGTTGATGGTCAGAAGTAAATCTCATGACTCCCATCCAGATACAATGTTCTACAGTGTCTGCAAGCTTAAACTGAAGAATTTTCTTATGCAGACCTAAGAGTTGTTTTGTGTGGAGATGGGCAGATAACCAACTGCATTAATGCCAGAGAATCGCAGTTATGATCACAGTAACCAAAATGTGCAGGTTCTGGTGCAGAGTTTGGTCTTCCATGACTTCCAGCACACTCGGGATTTTGCTGTTTTCCTCCATCGCTGCTTTTTGTTTTAGCAGATGGTCCATTTCTGCTTGGTGCTTTTCCTCCCCACACAGTCCCTTCACAGTTGCACAGAACAAAGAGGAAGGTTTGATACCACTGTACTATTCATGCAGCATAATATTTGTACATGCAGATCTTTCAGATTATTAATTAGTTATTCCCCTAAGGTTTCATGACATTACCAGCCATGGTATGAGAACACAACAGACATACATTTATATCCTGTGTTCACAGTCTTGCAGACATAAGATCCTGTCTCACAGTTGTTGGTGTATAAACCTTAACTAACACTGTATGGTTGTAAAAACATCAGCGTAGCCTCTGACCTCTCTCGTTCCCTGTCTCATCACATGGCTCTTGCTGCAGCACCTTGGAAGTACCTTTCTAGAACCTGAGCAGAGAAAATATGATATGTAATGACTGACAGCTCTTTGCACCAATAATGTAGAACACTGATTCATTAAAGGGCTTTGTATTTCAGTTCATGTGTGTTTTCGCATGTAGAATTACAAGAACTTGCTGTGTCTGGACAGATTTGTTGGAAAGAAATTTTATGCAGTTTTCTGACGAGATAAGATAGCTCCCAGTAGGCTGTCTGCTGTTTCAGTTAGGTGGTTTGGTACACAAATTATCCCATTTAACATTATCTTACCTGATATCTTTTGAAAATGTTGACTGCCCATGTTAACCTGCATTAAGTGGAGAGACTGATGTGTTTGTTACCTGGGCATGCCCACTCAAAGGCAGGTACTTCCAAGCTCTTATTCTTTTCTTCTGCAAAGCAGGGTGGGTGGAAAGGGCTGGGAATGAAAAGAGAGGGGAAACAATTTGCAATTTGTTTTGGGAAGAATCCTTTATGTTTTGCCCCCACTATCAGTGACATCTGAAGATGCCCTTCTTACCATAGTTGAATTGTTGTTCATAAAGATTTGAAAGTGAGGGATCCATCACTTCCCAATACGTAGAGCATTACAACCAACCACTGGTATTGACCCTGCAAGGAATTGTACAAGCTCACCACAAAAGAAGCTGGTGATGTCATAGTCCCTGCATTTCTAAAATATCAGCTTGTTTGAGGATGCTTAAATAATCTCAGCAGAACCTGCAAAGTTTCATTGCACAAAAAGTTCAGCCAGACAAAGGTTCTGGATTTTCAGTTTTGCTACTCTTCTTCATATTAAGTAACTAACCAGTCCACAAAAGCTTCATTTTCAAATGCACCGTTTCAGATCTCTATCAGGCTACCAGCTCGGAGAGCTTACTAGGATCACATCTGGACATGGAAACAAGAGGTGAAAATGGCACAGAAATACCTCACCATTTAAGAACTAGAGGAATTTTAAACTTTTTCTTTTCATCTGTTTTTCTACCCATCTGGAACTTACTTCGAAGTATCCATGATGATTTAGTCTAGAAAGTTAATTCTGTGCCTTTTGACTTTCTTTTTTATTTTAAATGTTACCTCTAATTTTTGAAGCAACAAAATTAGAAGGATTATCCCCTGCCCACCCTATTATTTTGAAAATAGTTTGGTAAATACGTATCGTATTTTCTTTAGGAATGATGATTGCAACAGACAACCTCACAGTTCTTCTGAAAGCCTAATTCTGACAGCTGGTGCTGCCAGCTCCGGTACTCACCACTTCTAGAAAGAGCTTGTCCACCTCATATTGGAAGGGTGGCTGATCCCAGGTAGACAGAACTCTGTCAGACTGTGGAAGTGTTTTCCCTCATGCCTCTTCTGCACCTTCTGCTTAAGTAACCACCTGACTCTGAGGATGAGGTTAATGTTTACTTCGTATGATTTCTGTTGATTTATGTTTTTTTTTTAGCAACTGGACAGCACTTAGAATGGATGGATTAAATATTTCAATGCCTCAACAGGAGAGGGCCCTCTGAATGGGAACATTTTGTAGCATGAGTCCTCCCTATTTTGATAGAGGAAGTGATACCAGATTGAATATAAAATCTAACCCATGTTTCAGTTGCTGGAACACACACCAGCCCTCTAATATCAGAGCTTCTCCTATGGTTATTCCTTTAGAAGTAGCAAGTGCCTTATTTGAAATTTTCAAATAGAAAAATCCCTAAAATTTAGCATTAATTTAGTGCTCCAGCATAGAGATAACCAATATGAATGGTTAAACTGCAAAGCAAAAGGACTTACGGTCCTGCTGAGCAAGAGGCTTAGAATACCATTTGTGATTGTGACAGAAAGAAGAAAAATGATTGATTATCCTCTGTAAGTTTGGCAGGGGGAAGTGACTGGATGATGCAGTGGTCAGCTGGATTAACAGCACTTGAATAGCTCAGGGCAGGGGTGCTGTGCAGAACTGCAGTGAAGTGTAGGATTGTGAGCTGATGTGCAGCAGCAAAGTACAATGTGTCCTAAGCCAGTACACAGCAGATATTGGCCAGCACAGCTTCTGTTTTGTTTGGTTTTTTGCTGGTTTTTTTTTTTTTTTTTTTTTTTTTTTTTTTTTTTTTTTTTTTTTTTTTTTTTTTTTTTTTTTTTTTTTTTTTTAAATCAGTTAATCATGTATAAAATGGGCTGATTTTTCAAAGTCTCTACTTTCTCAGTACTCTCTCAAAGGCTCTTACTCCCTCTTTCCAGGACTCTGGTCCTCCAGCTCTCTCAGCACTGCCTGTATGTTTATTAACGCTTGTGCCATCCATGAGGCACCAGAATACATTACAAAAACTTCCTCCTGATTTTGTTGCCACTGATATGCACAGAGAGTGCAGCCAGTTTGCTCCAGAGAAGGCAAGTGAGAGTTTTCTGCACCAATTGCCCAGGGTTTGAGGCTGATCCCTGACAGTCATTATAGAGACAATCAGGACATACAGTTACTTGATGTCAGCTCAAGGAAATACAAGCTCCCTTTGTCCTACTTGGTATTTGTTCATGTGCAGTGTTCACAATCAATACTAGGTCCTTAACAGTGTGATATCATAGTGACATGAGATGACATGAACATTGTTTGCAAGAACTATGTCTGTGTTTAATCCTTTCTTCATCCTGCTCTTAATCTTGAGCAGAATTTTCTTATAAAGTAACAAACATAAAGATAAGTCTTGCTGCTTGAAAATGACAGCAATGCAGAAAGATTTGAAATACAACTGTTGTGTTGTTATGCCTGAAAGTGTTCTCCATGCGGCAGTTCTTAGAAATGTCTGTCATTGCGATTGTTTTCCTGTTGCAGTCGCTCTAGGAATGAGCCATTGACTCTCACCATGAAAAGCAAAGATGAATATAAACCAGGACTACTTTGATTCATGACAAGTTATCTCTGGATTGCTTTTTGGGTTGCATTTCATTGAGAAAAGTCCATCTTAATGTTCAGTTTTCAGTTCGATTTTGAGACAAGACTTTTTGTCAGTGGAAGTTACTGATGGTAGCTTATCAGAGCTTGGTGCAGAATGACTTTTCTTCAGTAGCATTCACCTCCACAGCCTGATGACGTTTCTTCTTAAACTGGCGTGTTTTGAATTCTTCTGTGATTTCAGAGATTGACTTTCCCTTTGTTTCTGGGAGGAATATGTAGATAAGAACCGCTGAAATGATCAGGACAGCGATGAAGATGAGGAAGCAAAAAGGACCAAGAAGCATCTAGAGATAAAAATGGAATAAGATGAGTGATTTTCCTGGCAATATTTGCCTCTATAGATTCTTGAAAGTAGTTGATTTGTTCCTGTGAAATGAGGATTAAGATGATTTTACAGCAGTGGTATTTATTTATCTTTTCAATCTGTTCTTGAGGCACCATATGATTTTCTGAGGTATTGGGAAGTGTTTTGCATAAATGGCCTCCATATGCCAACTGCAATAGGGGATTCCCGGTTTTAATCATCTACAAGTCCCTTCATCCTACTCCCTGTCCAGACCAGTCTAGAAAAAATTGATCACTTAAAAACTGATAGAGTCAAAGAGAAGGTTTGAATCAAATTACATACTACAGCAAAGGGGAAAATCATTCCAGTGAAAGTGAGGCCCAGCCAGATGACCATTCCACCAATGACAAAAGCGGAGGCTCTTGTTGAGAGGGTGAAGATTTCATTATTAACAGATGAGGCGGCTCCAGCTGAGGGAAAAACAACATAAAAAAGCAACACTTGTTGTAGTTGTCCAGTTCCCATAGATGACACCTGAGTTCTGCTACTGTGGGAATTCTGTTATATTTTTCAGACGTTCACGGTCCTCTTATACAACTCTTAAAATAGTAGAGGCTGCCCTTTGAATTTGGAGAGTGTGGTAACTACAAGTATTGTTTAGTCAGGGAACTTCTGGAGTAAATATTGGTCTTAGGTGAGTGAGATTCTGAAAGTAAGTTTGGGTCTGGTGTCACCAATGTATTTTACAGGTAAGCTGAGAAAACACTGGCATTTTAGAAGAGCCTTCCTCTGCCCTTAAGCAAAGACAGCTGAGCCTGTGTGCACTGAATGGCATTCATACCCTCCAAAACAAGTCAGTGAATTGATTAATAAGAATTTATTTGGCTTGAATCTGTAATTCAGTGAAAGAAAACAGGCTCCTGATTCACCGGGGTGTGAATGATTTAAAATAACTTAAAGAAATTGCTTCTTGGGTAATTAATTCATCAAAAATTGGGACTCCCTCAATCTCAGTCCAAACTAAGCTGTTCATTTTCAAAGATATATTCACACCCTCTAGTTCTACTTCTATACATCCATGGCCTGTATTTATCCACCTGGTCCAAGTTTTCCTATTGCTTTTATTGCTGTACTCACCTGGTCCTATTCCATAAGCAATGATGAATAAAAAGATGAGAACAACACTGCAGTAACGCATCCAGAGGAACTGATCCTGGACAAAGGCAAAAGGAGGGAAGAGAATGAGAATTAATTTTATAGCTGTAGCACAGCTGGTCCAGGCATAGGAGCAGCAATATTTTATGAAAAAGCCCATAACAATGAGCTCTGTAACAGATGCTCCCTAGAACTGCTCATCTTTCTGTACTGATCACAGTGGAAGGCCAAAAGCAGCCTGCAGTGTCACACCTACAGAGGTGAGCTTGTGTTCAGAAGACATCCTGACCTGCTGTTTAGGACATGAAAGCTCAGGCTGACTATCTCCTGTCCTGCACAAAGAATTCAGATGCAGGTCCACTCCTAGAGAGATGTTTGCTTACACTCAGCAGGAGGCTTGTTTCAAGCAACACCAGTATCAGTGCCATCAGCAAATAACCACCACACAGGAGCATTCGGCGTCCAAACCGGTCTATTATGGAGCTCTGAGGAGTAGAAAAAAAGTGCATTTTGAAAGGGATTCTTATAAGAAATTAGGAAAAATGAAGAAAGACATAAAAGCTGGGACGAAATTTGGAGCGGGAGGTAACATCCGCTGTACAGATTTATGCAGCAGTACAGAAAATACTTTGGTTCTTAAGGAGAAAATGAATTTGTTTTAAGGAAGAATAGACTCAACTCACATGTACTCTAATTCTTAAAGCTTCAGAAAGCTCTCACTTACACAGAATATGACAGAGATGAGTTCAGAGATCGAAACTCCTAGAGATACATATGGGATTATGCTTTCCTGCAGGTTGGCAGTCTGAAAAATCTCTGAGGTGTAAAAGGTGATCTGGGAAATAGGAAAAATATTAAAAGTTAAGCATAGTTAGTAGGTATGATATGTGCCTATCCAGCATCGCTTAGAACTAGAACTAGAGCAGTAGGGTTTTGGGGTTTAGTGGAGCTGACATCCCTGCTCGAAATGTGAAAAATGAAAAGGTTTATGGAGATAAAGAAAAGGCATTTGAAAGTCCAGGAAAAAAAAAGAAAAAAAGAAAAAAAGTAGTTGAAAGGAGCATATTGCCTGTAAGACATGGGGAAAAGGTGGGTTTTTTGGCAAAAAGGAGAAGGAAAGGGACAAGACAGGGAGAGTGAAGGCAACAGTGTCCTTGCAGGAACTTAGGCTGAGTTGGATCTCTTGTGTTCCCAGCTGAGAAGTTTCCTTAATGCTATGAAGAATACTGGTGATGATACCACAGATCTCAGGCAGTGGGCTCTGCGTGAGGAGGAATGATGTAGACCCAGAGGAAAGGGACAAGTTGCACCGTGGCACTTTGGTTACTTAGCAGCAGATTTAAAGATGAAAATGGGGCATACTCAACTGCACTCAGGCCACAGAGCTGTAGACTCAGTAGAAGGAGGAGCATGGTAATCAGCTGCGGGTACACGGATGGTTCTCTCAGCACCTCTAGCACATTCATGATTTTGGTGCCTTTTGTTATAGCCTTTTCCTTCATCAAGTCCTCAAATTCTGTGTGATAGCTCCCTTCTCCCCAGAGTTGCTTCATGGCTACAGAAGAGACAGAATGAAGTGTACTCCTCCATCACCTGATCCACTCAGAGTTCTGTGCTTTTTAACTTTTATTGACACTAAACATTTGCAATTCAGTCCATGCTTTGATTCATCAGTTACTGAGCAAAGGACTGGAAGGAACATTCCTTGCTGGAATATGATGAGACTTTCCTGGAAAATGGTTTTCAGCTTTTTTTAGTATTTAGGGGTAGATCTTAAATATTTCTGATGACTCTGCGTCATCTGGAGAACTTTAATCATGTAATTATCAAGAAATCTGTAGCTGGCTAATAGAAAAGCCGATTCCCTCTGTTAGCTTCACTTTCCCAAGAGTTATGGTTTAACAAACTAAGGATCTAAAGTTTTATTTTACCTTTCAAGCATCCTGCTTTGTCTCCTTTCTGCAGCAAGAGATAGGGAGGGGACTCAGGAAAGAATGGTAAAAAGAGCAGTTGAATCAATGCCACCAACCCAGAGAAGGACAATAGCACATTCCATGTGTCTTCAGTTCCTAAAAGATCTCTATGAAAGCATGTTAGGGTCTATTTATAGTCCAGTAAAATTATAGTTTATGGCTAATTTGATATTTTCTAAGTCCTAGACTAACTAAAGAGATACAGAATACATACAGTCCTTGAAAAATTAAATTGAAATAGAAGATACTTATGTTAGGGAAAGGAATATAGACTACTACTTTATTTATTCTGCAAGACTGAGATTTTTCATTATAATCTGAATAATTTCTAGAAATCAATGGAGTTTCAGTATTACCACAACAGTCCCCTGAACCAATACTGTAAGTCTGCATGAGGTTATCAAGAAAATAGCAGATATTTCGGATCTCAGAAATTTTCTAAGAGTATTTACATACAATCTTTTCTTATGAACTTCAGCAGAGAGACTGCACCTCCAGAGATGGATCCTTTCTCAAGAGAAGGGCATTTTTCTCCCCAGTGACTGACACAGAAACCTTAGTGACCGGTACTTAAGCAAAGTAAAACCCTACCCTTAGTGCATGTCTCTTTCTAGGACTTGTAGAACAACACTTCCCTGCCATCAATAAAAAAAAAAAGGTAGAAAATTGGATGAGAAGGAGTAGCACAAGTACCGTAATCCAAGAATTCTTGCTACAGTTTTTCCCAGTGCAAAAAACACCGAGGAGGTCACATTTATAAATCCACGCAGCTTCTTGGGTGAGATCTCTCCAGCATACTGAACATGGGTATTTAGATGTATTCCTAAAGGGAGAAAGAGGAGAGTGCTAAAAGTGTAGAAAGAAAGAGAGAAGGTCCCTTTTCACTTCCATTTCAGATAGAGGTTGCTCTGTCCTCTCTCTTCTGAGCTGTTTCCCATAAATCCTCTACAATAATTGGCTGAAAATGTACCTTTGACTCTAAGCAAGATGTTTAGCTAATCCATCAGCTTTCTCTCTCTACCAGACCTCTTGAAGGCAAAGGACAGCTCATCTTACCTTTTCCCAGTCTGTTCCTTGTTCCACTGGGATACTGGGCATGCCTGGGCACTCCCAGTGGGGAGATTTCTGTATCCACCCCAAAGAAGTCACATTGACAAGGAGTAGTGGGGAGTCCTACCGGCACCGATGCCCTCAAGGAAGCGCCCAACCAGGATCATCTCAAAGGACTTGGCTGTCCTGCTGAGGCCCGTGTGCAGCGTGGCTATTATTAGGATCACATCGTTGAGCAACAGACTTTTCTTCCTGCAACAGCAAACAACACCTGGGTATGAGACAGGTTTTACTTTCTTATCCTGACTGATGTGTGCCTGTCCTCCCTCGGATTTACAGACACAGCCTATGGTCGTGTTTAAATCCATTCCTTACAGGGCAACCAAACCTGATTCTGAAAAGGTGTAATGTCTCCCCAGGGAGAAGCTACATTCCTCTTACCCATGCTAACACTGTGTGAACAAACCAGATGAAGGAAATTCCTGCAGGATAAATACTGATAAGGAACAGTCTTTTTCACTTCTAAATGTGGCCTGAGGGACTTCCACTTATCTTTGCTGAAACTCTGATTATTCTTACAGAGGAATGAACCTGCACTTTTTTTTTTTTTTAAACCCTGTGATCAGTTAAATAAATAAGTTTTAAAAAGCTTTTCCCTATAGAATATGCAACTCCTTCTGCACTGCTGCAGCGTTGTTGGGCTTCCTAGGCATTACTGCCCAACCTAGAAACTTCAGAGATTTATTTTTTACTGAAATGCCAGCAAATATACAGGTATTGTATGGCAACAAAAGCTGTCACAAGGGAATCAGAAATAGTCTCTCCCATGTACCCACGTGTAGTTTTATGTGCTGAGCAAATTCTGCGACAGCAGGGGGCAGTGAGATTCTGATATCCCTTCTATTGGGTGACTAATTAATTCCTCCCCCTGCTGCAGCCCTGAGTAGGGAGCTGCTGGGAGATATACTTACTTTCCAAATTTTGCAGTCAGGTAGCCACTGCACAGACACCCCATCATCCCACCCACGCAGTACAGGGACACAATGACGGACCACAGCAAGGTGAGGGTCTCCTGGTGCAGCACAGAACCGTATCGCTCCAGCCACGTTTCATTGATAAACTTCTGAATGTACTGGGACAGAAAAAGAGATTTTCATTTCACTGAGGCACTGATCACAATAGTTCTTCATGATGTTTACAGCTTTGAAAAAGTTAAATGAATAGTCACTACAGAAAGCATGGCTGAAGGACACCTGTTTGAAAATTGGGATTGATATTTCCTCTCATACAGCCCAACAGTGTAATAGAACCTTTCAAAAATTAACTATAATCTCAGTGTGTTGAATCCTTGCTCTCCTACACTAAATATAGGGGCCTTTTTTTCATTATAGCGAAATGTAAATGTTCTTGTTGTAGGTAGCAGATATAAAGAGAAAGGGGCTGAACTGAAGGTTGAGTCTCCATCAGCTAGTTCTTAATCTTTTATCTCCATGACATAAACTTTAAGGAAGGTATTTCAATATGTTGTTTCCGCACAATTCTTTGTGGAGTTGTTTTTGGAGCACAAGCCTCTAGCAATCATGGAAAGAGCTGGGAATAAACTGGCATAGCAACACCTAAGAGTTTTGCAGAGCATTTTTAAAGCATAAGGCCTGGTCCCACGAGGAACACTTACAGGTGTGATTTTATGAAGGTTTTGCTTACCGGAGAAGTATAATTGATCACAGACATCTGAAAACCAGAGAGGTGAGTTCCACCAATTCCCAGCACCACAGTCATTAGCAACAGCTTCCGGTATTGGACCTGCCAAAGACAGTGAAACACATCCTAAGTTCCTGATGCCACCGTGGCTTTCAGACCAGATAATTTATGGGGTCCTATATCTCCACATTTCTATTATTAAGGAACCTTTAAAATGCAAATACCCATTTTTAATTTTTCAGTAATCAAATAAAATTAATGAGAAATTTTTAAAATGTAAATCTGCCCATTCCATTATGTTCTTGTCCTAGTCATTAGGAACCTGAAAAGATGCAGTCTCTAATTCTGTTAGTTCTGATAACCATGGGGGAAAAAAAAATTCATAAAAACCTTTTTCAGGTAGTTTGTGTTTACTCTTGGGCCAAAAAGGTGCTACAACTTTCTTGAATCCCTTTTTTACTTTCAACTTTACCTCTTCAAAGACATCGTTCACCACTTTCCAGAGATTAGTCAAGTCTGTCCTCTTAAAACGTTCTTTTTTGTTTGTTTGTATTTTTGTTGGTTTTTTTTTTTTTTTTTTTTTTTTTTTTTTTTTTTTTTTTTTTTTTTTTTTTTTTTTTTTTTTTTTTTTTTTTTTTTTTTTTTTTTTAATTTCACCTTTATTATCCCCACAGGGAATGCCATTTTTAGAGTCCTTACCTGACTGACTCCTATTTGAAATGCTGTGTTTCCATGACGTACACTGGATTTTAGAGCACCCCTCACAAGCACATATGTTTTCAGCTATTTAGTCAGGTCACACTTCAAACAGACAAGTATCCTCAAATACCCTTGAGAGTGCAGGGCAGTAGAGTGGAGTGGGAGGTTTTTTTCTCTGTCTTTTTCACTGCTACTATATTCTTTATCTTCCTCAAAATGCCTATCCTTTCCTGGTTTCCCAAGTCCTCCTTTAGACCTCTCCCTCTTTAGTAGTTCTAATGTATTTTCTGGAGATGCCAGAAGCCGTCTTGCTGAACCAAATACATGCTCTGTTGTTCATTTTATTACAAGGACTGTTTGATTCCCTTTGCTGTAATCTTTAAGACCATGCTGCTGTTGATGACTAGGGCTAGAATACAAGAAGTTGGATACTCACCAGGTCTGAAAGGAATCCAGACATTTCCCCTTGAAACCCTGCCCTCTCTGAGAGCTCCTGTCAAGTCTGTCAGATGAGAGAGATGGTTTCCACACTGAAACTTTAAGAGTTTGGGATCATAGCACAGAAGTTAAATTCTAACTATGTGGCTTTTAGCAAATTGTGTCCTCCTCTGACACTGGTCAGGGCCTCTTCTTGCTGGTTTAATTATTCTAAGACCCAGATATGACAAGCTGATTACAACACTGGTAAATGTTTGTCCTTGAGTTGGGAGTGCTGCCCCTTACTCACACTGTTGAAACACTGGCATGTTTCTGTTGTGGGAGGAATCAGACAGTGCTACCATCCTCCCTTCAGGGTAGCAGAGTCCCTCTCCACCTCTCTGAAAAGCATCTTAGGCAGGGAATTCTTCCTCCTCTCCACTCTAACCATGAAGATAACACCCTTAGAATTGTAGCTGAGCTGTAATGCCTCTTCTTGCCTTCTACACGATTTTTCAACTGCTTGAAGTGATCTGAACAATTTCCCAGTTGCAGGAAATGAAGTATTGGAATATTGGTATATTGGGTCCTTGCTAATACCCAGAGGGTCACACTCCTCACAGAACCACTCCAAAATCTCGCTCTTGCCTCTCTGTAGCAGTGGAATTGACCCACTTGGGGCCAGAGTACGATGCCATATCTCATTTTCCAGACCTCTTCATGCTGTGCTGCCCCTTGAAGTCTGTTTTTATTTTTATTTTTCCATCCCAAAGGTTTTCTGCCAGACTCAGAGTAAACCCCTTTTTAAACACTGTGGCAGGATTTTAAGATCTGGTTGATCAAACAGTCCCTGCAGAGCCCTTTTCCTCTTCCTCCTGCTGTCTGTTCTCTCCTAGAGTACTCACACTGCTCTCCCATTTTTGTCTGGCCTCACACTTTTGTTCAGTTCTGTACTGTGGAAAAAGAAAGCCTTAAATGCTTAGCATCATTCTTATTTATATTCCTGAAGAAGAGGACAGGACAAATCTTTTCACCTAGGATTTGAACATTACAAGAAATGTGTTCCAGACCCAGTCTGGAGTTCACCCAAGACCCTTGACTTGGAGGGAATTTTGTCTCCAAGATGCCCTGTGTAGCACTTGTGTGATCCTGGACCCTACATGGCACATTCACAAGACCTTCTTTAACCTTTATTCCCAATCCATGCTAGTTTATGGCAGTGTTAATGATTTACCACACTTTCCCTCTTGTGGACAGTATTTACTAGTAGAAGGGAGGAAGAAAGGCACACTGGACAAGATCACCCTGTGGAAAGACAAGTAGAAGGAAACGAGTTTCTAATGGCTCGTAAGACAGTAAAAACTTCTTCCCTGGGAACCAGTAAGGTTGAGAAAGACCAGGCCAAATAAAGACTTTTAAAATAATCAAGGTCTTACCTAATTCTTTTCAAAATATTTTAAATGTTTCTTCTCTTCTTTCCCCTCCCCCCTTGTATTTTTGACCAGAAGAAGGAATGTGTGTTGGTTCTTACTGTGGTCCTGTGCAATCCATAACCTAAAGCCTCGAAACTATATGAAACTATAGACTTTATCTAGCTTTCTTGGTACTATGATGATTGTCATAGGAAGGATAGCTGTACTGGGGAAGTCCTCTGCTCCTGGTATTAGCTTTTGGCACTGCTACAAATACTGTTAGAGGATGGTGTGAAGATAAAATAGCAGAAGCCTTAGGGTTGTGAAAGAAACTGATGCTCAATAGTCAAGTCCTTTTGCAAATTTTATTGTGTAGTACCTGCAGCAGTCAGTAACCAAGATCTCATTTCCAGAACAAGACAGACACTGTGTTCCTTGACTCCAATAACACAGTCCCAGAAAATGGGCTCTCCTCTGTCCCTGGCTCTTTGTGCAGTGAAAACCAAATCCAGGCATGATCATCAGGATGTGTTTTCCTCATCACTGGTTTTTGTTTCCTTATCAGTAAACTGCAAAGCATGAAGAAGAGCAAAAATGTGTCATGTCATATAGCAATGACTACAAAAAGTGAAGCCCTTTTAACCATGTTTTATAACAAAAATGTGGAGTATTCAGAGACCTGGAGAGAGAAGCAAACACTCAGACACACCGATTGGGTTCCCCAGGAGAGGTACTGATTTCTTTTGTCTCATTGGTACCAGTTACTCTCAGGAGCTCAATCCCATTGAAACCCAGTGTTCTCCAGGCTGCAGATACGCTGCACAATCATTGCTATTGAAGAAGAACCTGCTCACTGTGGTTTTGCCCACTCATGATTCCCTGCAGCTCTGCATTCTTCACTTGTGCTTCTTTCAGTGCTGACATATCCCTGGGGTTTTTTTTCCAGCTGAAGAGGTGGAAACATTGCATATTGTTTCTGTCTACTGATAGGCAAGGTGCTCTTCTTCCACTGGATTAAAGAGCTAAACAGTTCTTTTCCTCCGGACTGAAGCTTCTTCTCTGGGAAAGCTCAACAACACTGACTTGTTAACAGCAGATAATTTCAACACCAAAGCTCTGTCTTCTTTTGCTCTCACTTTTGCAAACCTGCTGTACCTCTGGACCCTCCAGACTCATGTTCTCCGGCTGTGGAGTCCTGGTTTTTGCCAAGAAAAATAGCGTATCCTGTGTTTTCAGTTTACAAACTGCTAACTTGGAGGGACTGACAAAATTTCTTTATATGCTGTGTTCAATTTTTTTTCTGGAGAGGAATTAATTCAGCTCATGTTTCAGGAGTTGGAGAGAACCACCAAGTTCATCCTGCACCCTGCACTGCTGCTGATTATTTTTAAAATACACACTTGTGATGTTTGTGGAGCAGTGGATTCTCTCTTGCTTAATGAGGCTTCTGGACACTACAATAACAAAGGAGCAAAACATGAAGTGGAGGGTTTGTTGTTAAAGTCGAGTAACAGTCATCACTGAGCGGTTACTCTGCTGAAGGGCTGTCTGTCTCTTCTTTCCACGGTAGTTCAGGCGGTTGAACTCCTCCATGACCTGCAGCATGGTCTTTCCTTTGGTTTCTGGCAGCACCAGGTGGACAAAGATAGCCAAGGACAGGCAGTATGTCAGGAAAATGATGAAACAGAAATTACCAAGGCCTTCCTACAGGAAAAGAAAGAGGCAAACTGTGTTCATAAAAAATGATCATGATTTCTTTCTCTTATGATATAGAGTTTCTGGTTTTGTATTTACTATAAAACTTGGTCAGGGACAAAAACACCCTACTTTGCTTACCACAATGAAAGGGAAGACAAGTCCAAGGATGAAGAGTTGGATCCAGTTTATAATACCATTAAAGACATAAGCAGCTGGTCGGTATGACTGAATAAAAATTTCCGTGATCAAGGGACATATCACGCCAGCTGAAAAAAATGTTGAAGAAAAGAGGGAAACTTAGAAATGGTGCAAGATGTTTCTGTACTTCACACTTCATATTTCTGCATAGGTTCATGGCTTTAACTGACCTGGAAGCGTTTGAGGTGCTGCCTGGCTCTTCAGGAGGAAGGATGTAGGAATGCAATAGGAAGAAGTTTTACCTCCTACTGTAGTATGGAGGGAAACATCTGCAGCTACAGTGAATCGGGAGTAGGAATGGGGTTCATGCTAACTGTGGAACAGCTATGCCTGGTACCTCTCCTAAAGGCTGCAGTGAGGAAGGAATGAGGCCCTGAAACCATTCCAGTAGAAAATACCAACCTGGCCCAGCACCAAAGCTCATGATGAAAATAAAGACGAGTGCAACAGAGCAGTATGGCACCCAGAAAAAGGAATCCTGTGATAGGAAATGAAAAGCAAACAAAATCACAAATTAAGATTTTGTGTATCTAGCTCCATTAGAAATATTAATCACTGCTAGGTACAGCAGTGTTAAATATAAATTTATTTACTTTACTTCCAGAAATTTTATGAGGAGATAGTCTTGGCAGAGATCTTGGTTGTATAAGTCTATTGTCTTTAACCTGTATGCACATAGCTGGGAACAGACCTCTGTTAATATGATGGTTAGCCCCAAAAATGCTTCTACTTGGACTAAAAAGTGGTTTGGGGGAAGGGAAATAGTAACGATATCTGCCATACAATAAAACATGAAGACAGGACACAGTTTTAATGCATCAGTGGGGTCTTACCTGTAGGAAGAGCGTGACTGTGAGGAGCCCTAAAGCCAAGGCCATCACAGCAGAGTTTTTGCACAGCAGTGTCTTCCTCCCTGCACGCTCAATGAGGATGCCCTGCAACCAGGAGGACATGCTGCCAGCTCCAAAGGACAGGCCTAAGGCAGGCACTGGTGAGCTGCTCCAGTAGCTGCCATCCCTGGGTTGTGATTTTGAGAGAGGCACTCTCTTCTCTTTGCAGAAATTGAATATAAATGCCCATGTTTGCAGGGTGTGTGGAGATGATTTTTTGTGATTGGTTTTGCAGTTGATTTGTTGCAAAAATTTTATTCCTGAAGCTCTGCTTACAGTATTTCTAAAGATTAAAATGAACCATGCATAACAGCAGAACAGAATTCAACAGAGAAGCCACTTACACACAGAACTGTGGAGAGGATCTCGGTGATCCCAAGCCCCAGTGAGACATAGTGGGTTTGAGAAGGGAGGATTCCAGCTTTTGTAAAGATACTGTATGCATAAAAGTAAACCTGGAAAGAATAGAAATTTTTGCTTGTGTTTACACTGATGTCTGGGGGTTTTGGACAGGAAGTAAGTTGCATTCTCTTATCATAACAGGGTAATCCATAGAGATGCCTTCAGATGACACTTGTTAAAACACAGTTATCTACTTATCTCAGGTGCCAAACTTCCATGGGAAAAGATTGTAATGAACAGTAACATCAGATCCCTCCTTACAGCCACTGTTTCAGTCAGCATTTCACAACCCATTGCAGAGCTCACTTTTGCAAGAGCCTGTGAGCAGAGCAGAGAGCAGAGCAGAGCAGACACGTACCACGTTGGCCCCGTTGAGCTGCGTGCACGAGATCACAAGGAACAGAGTGATGAGCTGCCAGCGCACGGCTTTGTCACGGAGCAGGTCACAAACACCCTTGGCCTTCTCCCCACGGATGGTCTCTTGCTCTGACATCATGTCATCTATTTCGGCCATGTGGTCTCCGTCTCCCCAGAGCTGCTTCACAGCTGGAA